CAAGTCACACCAAGTTTCAGCGAATTTTGCGATTTTCGCCCAACTACCGTATTCCCACCGTAAGCTCGTTATGTGGGCAAATGGCGACAAATGAGCATCGGATTCGTGATCAGCGTGCCAAGAAACCCCACAGTACCAATTTGCACTCAATTTAGTGGTTTTCGCCCAACTACCGTATGCTACCGTAACCTCGTTATATGGGCGAATGGCGAAAAATGAACATCGGATTCGTGATCAGCACGTCTGATAACCCCAGGGACCAAAATTTTACAAAATTTCAAATTTTTGTGTTCAGCAGTGCAACATGCTTGATGAAACTCGAAGCAAAATGTACCCCGGAGGACTTTAGCTGCCCCTCTGCGTTTGCACACTATTTCTCTTTCTCTAACCAAACTCGGAGTCAACTGCGATTTCGCGCGAGCCTGAAACGCGCACTAAACTAAGAGTTAACGCGCAGCTCAGCTGCGCGTTTCGTCGCGTAGCGTCTCGCGTTGAACGAGTTACGGTACGTCTCCATACTTGGCATAAAGTACGTCTTGCGGGGTATCCTGCCATATCACCCTTTCCCCAATTTGGTTTGTTTACGCAGGTGTTAATGGTCCTTGAAAGGTACGTGTTAACTCAGAGTTAACTCTGAGTTTGAGCTGCTCGTTTCGACAGGTTTATCACCGACCCTGCTATTTGCTCTCAATTACACATAGTACATTGTGTTCAGCTGCTTGTAAATGAACAAGTGCGTTAAAGGCAGCGTCCAGGCAAATCTGGACCTTTGGAGATTTTACATGGAAAGTAGATTTAGGGCCTTAAGTAAGGCACTGCCCAAGCGGCAGTGCAGGTGACTCATTAACAATTGAGGTATACGCCTCCAAACTGGACTGATAGTATTTCGCGTGGATTCATGTCGCAACCCAGCAGTTCTGCCCGAGGACACACGCGAAACTGAAGGTTGCGCCATGAATCCAAGCAAATTACGATGCTGGGGTCTATTTTCGGGGGGAACATCTCAGTCGTTAAAGCACTAAATGATCTGCCGGTTGGGCAGTGACTTAATAGGGCCCCAAAATTATCATCCGCGTGAGATCCCCATACGCCCAGATTTGCCTGCCGCTGCCTTTTAAGAATTAAACATGTTGTGTGCGCTTGTGTACTGCAAAGATGGAACAATCTCCCACTGGGAGGGGGGGGGGGGGGAATTTGCGGGTCAGTGGTCCAACGTAAGCAACAATTGCGAAGGTGCATTCAGTTTTTGGACCTGTCTTGAAATGTAACATGTAATGCGATGCGAGTAATAAGCGCGAAATGATATGAGATGATAAACTTGAAGATTTGAGGATTTCTAGTGTTTTGCTGAAATGGTGAATACTAGCTATCACGTATTCTACGAATATGACTTTCATGAATCTCTCATTACCCTATCTGGGAATGCGTCAGCAAGATTGAAATCTTGTGGCGTTGTATATAGTCTTGTCTTCGTCTCCCATCCAAGTCTGTAATGGTCGGTTAATGAAGTATATAGCAAACATAGTTTATCCTTTACCCAGTTAAATCCTTGAGGGCGATATGGATTGAGATCGGGTGGCTGGTATTTGCAGAGACAGATGTACATGCGATGTGAGCGTAATCGGAACATCTTGCTTTCGTCGCTTGACTTCTTAGGCTGCGCTTTACATGAGTTTGCTAACTTTTCTAGCATCATTCAGTTTTTCATACGCAAAGCAAAATTTAAAGCTTGACTATTCAATTGCAATAGTGTCATCCTGGCATTTTCGATAGGCGCGAAAAATGATGGAAAGATGCATGGAATCGAATAGGACTCAAATCTTTAATTGAAGGATTGATCTTCTAGTCTAGATTTACGACCCCCCGAAGTTTTGAAAGAATTTGTTCAACACTTATTTTTCAGTGCCCTATCACTCATCGATCGAACAATTCAGAAAGATTGTTGTTTTGTTCATCTCAGGGATTTAAATCTTGAGTTGGTGACATATTTAAGAAGCAATCTCTTTTGCCATAAGTGTAGTTCCCCATTTTATAATAAATGACCGAATATAGCAAAGGCTCTAGAGTAATAATTTACTGAGGGAAATCCACCCGCAAGCAAGGGCATTGCAAGGGCACTTTTCGTCACAGATGTGCGAATTTGCAACGAATTCGCAGCACTCCTGTAAAAAAACCGATTTTTTGATACTGGTACTGATTAAAGGAATTCCAAACGTGTATCAAAAATCTATCAAAATCAAAGTTGCGCAAAATATCTCACAAAAAAATTAGTCTGCCGCAAAATCAGTCTGTCGGCTTACAAGATCCAAAGTATTCGCTGGTCCCGGCACATATGCTACTGAGACACCATCGCTAGACTTACTTCTTTTGGCCTCTCTGATCTTTCCACTGCAAATTATTCTACACTCATAGTCACTGTTCTCTAAAGAAAAACCCACGTTTAATTAAGTGGAATTGGCAGACTGATACAAGAAAAAGCAGCTGTTTGAATTGGCTAAATTGCGTGTAGAGGAAGTGCACATGTTGAGCACTAACGTATAGAAGTTTCTTTATCCATTATGAAGATAGTGATCTTTTGCGATTTTATGTAGATGGTTCAGGTTACACAAGAAAAGCTAAGCTAATAGAAACCTTTTCAAATTATTCCAAATTGAAAATAGCAAATATCGCTTTAGTATCGCAAATTGTCGCATTTCTATCGCGTCCGATTTGTGCAGCAGTGGTAGGGATAAATTTACATTTAATCTTTCAAAATATGAGCTGATTTCGGAGTAAAAAATCTGAGACATTTGGCCCATTGGCCTCTACATTGGCCTCTGCACGCAACCGGAAACAGCTTTTGGAGCATTCCTCCCTATGCTTTTGTGCTTTTTTGAGACCAGACTCGCTGAGATTTGGAGAAACGGTGTAAATCTGACGGCATGGTAGCAGAAGGTTGCCGCAACAGTGGAACATACATTACTGACTATTTCGCTAAAATTTTTTCACGTTAGTATTTGAAAGCTCTACAGACTTAGAAAACGCTTAATAATCAAACTACTTCACCTTTCGAATAAGATACGCGCTGCACGGGAACACGAGGAACATCTACAAAGATGAAGAGGAAGAGATGTAGAGGAGGTAGAGATGTGAAAGACGAAGGGAGATAATGGCTTTTGGAAAAGTTTTGGTGAGGGGTGGGGGAAGAGGAGAAGGTGGCAATAGTTTGTTTGATCGTTGGATTTGTATATCTTGACTAGATCTTCGAACAACATTCTACACAACCAACTTTTATCATAAAAATTCAGTGACGCTAGCATCTCAATGACCATAAAGAAACGATATCCACTTCGCTTCTTACGCAGAAACGATATCCAGCCTATCCATGTGCCACCTATGCCGAGTTCTGACATCAGCCAGATCACCTCTCCATTTAAAATTATTTTGTGAAGACTATAAGAAATCCTACTGCTGCTTACAATTAGTGATGGAAATTAGCTATCAAGTAAATCAGATTGAATCCAGACGATATCCTGTCTTATCTGAGTGCTGCGGGTTTTAGCCATGTCCTCCAATTATCAAGATTGAAAGCTCATTGCCGATCCCTGAAGTTTTTCTAGAATAACTTTTAGAATGACAGACACACACAAGATACTGCTGACAATTATTATCTGTTTCGAAAACTCCATTTAATCAAGGATACTAGGAACGTTACGCACACATTGCTCATATCGATCTACTGATAAACTATGAATCCATATTGAGAACAGAATGCAGCGCCTTTCCAATTTTTCCACCTATTTTAACGTGATCTAGCTAGCTAGTCTTTTTGAGGTCCCTTTTCGAGTTCTTCATGGAAGAAGATTCCAGGTAATTCTGCAAATTGCACTTTTGTAATTAGAGGTATCGTTTTGGTCCGAAAGTATCGCGCTACCACTTTCAGAAGTCATGACTTCTTTTTCTATGGTTTCGCTTGGCAATCATCTCGAAAAGAAGGAAAAATGATGTACTTCCTGTTGCACTTTGACTTTGCTGTAATATAAGCTATTCGCATTTTAGAACTTTTCGAGCTATTTTAACTGCACCGTTTCATGTATCTACACTTGCTAATTTCCAGTTTTCAAAAATCAAAAAAGTCGTTTGCTTTCAAATGATTATCCCAGCGTTTTTGTTACACTGAGTGTGATTACTTACTATTTCCTTGAAAGTTCAAATAACACTGAGAATAAAAAGCTTTATTTACCAAATAAAAATAAATGCTTTATTTACCTGTATGATTTGGTTTTCCACTGAAACGAATAAAGACCGCTTCACTAGGAAGCAGTCACGGACCGTAAAGAAGGGAGGGGAGATAGGCTTTTGAGAGTGGCCTACAGAGGCCTGTTGACATTTACAGTTATACAGGTTTTCAAGAGTTCAAATTAGCTTTGTAAAGGAAATTCTTTCGGTCTTGAGATTTTGAGAGTGCAGACCCGCGAAAATTTCGACCCCAACAAAATTTCTCGGAACGCCATTGCGAGAAAGCTATGAAAACTTTGAAAATAGGCAAGGTAAGTTAAATAAGCAGCAAACGGTACCTTCAACTGCTTGTTAATCTTGATGGATGTTAATCTTAAGTTTTAGCAAGCTAGTATTTTTGAGGTCCCTTTTCGAGTTCTTCATGGAAGAAGATTCCAGGTAATTCTGCAAATTGCACTTTTGTAATTAGAGGTATCGTTTTGGTCCGAAAGTTTCGCGCTACCACTTTCAGAAGTCATGACTCCTTTTTTATGGTTTCGCTTGACAATCATCTCAAAAAGAAGGAAAAATGATGTACTTCCTGTTGCACTTTGACTTTGCTGTAATATAAGCAATTCGCATTTTAGAACTTTTCGAGCTATTTTAACTGCTCCGTTTCATGTATCTACACATGCTAATTTCCAGTTTTCAAAAATCAAAAAATTGTTTGCTTTCAAATGATTATTCCAGCGTTTTTGTTACACTGAGTTAATTACTTACTATTTCCTTGAAAGTTCAAATACCACTGAGAATAAAAACATTTACTATCAATGTTTGAGCTCATTGAGGCCTTGATTTGATGACGGGATTATTTGCTATAAAGATATTTAGTAATACAGGGGGTTGCAGTCGTTGCGGCAGCAAAGACATCCAAGACAACCTGAAACTGTCGCTCATCACTACATTGTTACATGCTAGTGAGGCAAGGTTCGCAAAGAAAGTTCCCGGGCACTTGTAAAATTTTTTTCAAATTGCTGTAATTCCGAGCAGATTGATTCTTTTCTGAAGCTACAAACTTCATTGCAAAGACCATCTTGTCCACAACGTATATTTGCTTGCTGGCTTTTCAGCACTTTACTGCGGTCCACCAGCGTGTGCAGAAGGGAAAAAGATCCACCGAAAAGTGATTTATTTGTGCAGGATTATCTCGGGCATGAGGGAGCTGGAGAGCTCAAATGCTGTAGTTATGTGGGAGTCTGCTGGGGCTGTTATGAAAATTATTTACGCCCTTGAGCGACTGCCTGCAAAAAAAGTTCCACATAGATTGAAAAATTTATCATTTTTTGCTCCAAAAAATGCACAATTTTTCAAAGTAAGTGACTTTGAAGTACTATCGTTCTGCACAAGGCGAACCAAATTTTTGATTCCTGCAAACATTGTGGGGGTAATGCCTTACACATCTTTTGGACTCATCATCCAGACATGACGGTCCCCGCAGAAGCGACGTCAGCTGTGAAAAGCGTTGCGGTCAGAGGCAGGTTCGACATCTTGTAATTTCTGAGCGCAAATTGCAAAGCTGGAGGGCAGCTGTGGGTCAGAGGTTAAAGGCAGTACATCGGCAGAATGAGACCCGTGACAAAACAAGGTCACAGGGTAGGAGCCCCCATATGGAACCTATGGGCCAAGGTTCGATCCTTCTCTGCCACTTCTAACCCCTGAACTTTCAAAGCGAAAGCAGCGCTCGTCTCCTGTCCTCTCCGAACCCGCCCACCCCATGGACGAGTGCCTTCCGCGGTCAGAGCGCCAGCCGCAATGCTATAAGCATGAGGTCCCGCAACGACTCTGCGTCTTCGCCATGACGGGCTTCGCGTTCACTCGTCCATGGGGTGGGCGGGTTCGGAGAGGACAGGAAATGAGCGCTGCTTCCGCGTTAAAATTTCAGGGGTTAGTAGTGGCAGAGAAAGATCGGACTTTGGCCCATAGGTTCCATTATGGGGGTTCTTACCCTGTGACCTTGTTTTGCCACGGTCTCATTCTGCCGATCTACTGCCTTTAACAGGCTTCTCAATAGATCACTCATGAGGGACGAAATTTTTTAATTGCAAGAAAAAAGGCCGTAGGCAGAAAAATTGTGAAACTTTTATGGTTGGAAGGATTTTTCTTATTGAGTCTTCTCTTCATCTTCAACGTCTAGGCATCGATAAAAATCAGAAATCGTATTGAAAATTTTAGGCTCCCCCCTACTAAAGAGTATAAAAAACTTGGTTTTAAGATCCGACCTAGTGCCGAAAAATGCGTTTGAAAATGAAGTTTCCAAAAGTGCCCGGGAACTTTCTTTACAACCTAATAACTTACCGTGATAATGAAGTTCCATGCAAGCATTGTGTCTCAAAATCTGAAATCAGATACTTAAAGCTACACAAAATATCAAAAAAGACAATGAAGGAAGCTGGTAGCGTTGTCACATATATAGTGAGAGACTTGACATTTTAACTAAAACGGCTCCCATATATAGGTGATGCTGAGATGTGACTACGACTATTTATGGGGACTATTTGGGTCGATAATAGTTAGAATGTCAAGTCTCTCATGGGCTGCTATGCTCTTGCTTTGTTGCATTTAACTTTGATTTGAAATGCTCCATTACGCCTTTTCACTTCGACTTAGGCACACCAAAGTATATTCTGCCGTTTTAGTGAGTGTTTTTTCTTTCAAAACCGCCATTTCTATGTTTCTAAATCTTTACATTTCTATCAATGATGTATCTCATGTCCATTAGCGCAAACCTAGGAAAGAAGAAAGCTCACTTTAGGCAATGCAGTGGTCGCTCAAAAACACTTTAAGACATAGCATATATGGACGCTTATTATGAAATAAAATCTCTTTCGATTGAGCAGGTACATAACGTTTCAATAAAAATTAGTGAGAACTGGCTTTCTTATTCATGCTTTATTCAATTTTTTATTTTTGTTTTCCACTGAAACGAACAAAGAACAGCTTCACTAGGAAGCAATCACGGACCGTGGATGTATGTCAAGAAGCGCGAAATTGCCAGACGGTCACCAAATAAACACATGACACAACACACAGAGTACACCTAGTATAACTAATGCTAGAAAAAAGCAGCATTTCATCGGATTTTCGAAGAGAAAAATTCAAAAAATCCCAAGATGCATTTTTTGGATCTTCCAAAATACTGAAAAAATGGGTACTTCCAGTTTTTTGCAAAATTTTCCCACAGAAATATGGCGTACATTGCACAATCGACCATCGGCTATATAATGCGCAAAGTCCGCGCAATCCTAGTACATCTGAGCGAAAGTTAAGCTCTTTTAAAGTTCGGGAATTTTTTAGCTATAAAATCTTTCTTAAAGTGGCTGCGATCCAACACAAGTATGCGTTCTATACATAAAGGTTTGCTGTTTGCAGTTAAATAATATTGCGCTCAGAAAGATGGTTTGAGATAAAAGCTATTTTGATTACAATTTGAAATTCATCAAACGTGCATTAATTATGAGACAACCTAATATACAGGGTGTCCCAAAAAAATGTTAACACTGTTTGATCGTCAATAACTCCCTTGCTTTCAAGTCTTTCGCCGAGCTTTAGGTACCATTCTGTAGAGCGAGGATAAACTTAGATTTACAGTATCGAGCGAATCATCTAACGCTCTTCGTTACTGTAGAATTACGGTAGGAAATTCCAAAATGTGGAACCGTCATGAAATATGCCCTCTGCCAAAATTTTTTTTCAAAAAATCTGAAAAATCGTGTACTAGGGATTTCGCGCACGCTGATTTTACTACATAACTTTTTGTGAGTGTTTTCAGCTTTTTTGATGGTGTAATCACATTTTTGGCACATGCTGGGAAGTCAGTTATTACACTTTACCTAGGATAACTTTGAAAAGAAACATCATAATGAGACTAAAATTTCATATCTGAAATCAGCGGCTTTCATTACCATGGTACAAGAGATTTCGGCTTGTTTGGCTCTGTTTCAAAGCAGAAAACGGGCTTTAATAGCTTAAAATCCTTGTCAAATTTCCTACCGTAATTCTACAGTAACGAGGAGAGTTAGATGATTCGCTTGATACTGTAAATCTAAGTTTCTCCTCGCTCTACAAAATGGTGCCTCAAGCTTGGCGGAAAAAACGAAAGCAAGGGAGTTATTAACGATCAAACAGTGTTAACATTTTTTTGGGACACCCTGTATTAGGTTGGTGCAAAAGTCCTGTCGTTTCATTTTCGAAAAATCATAACTTTGCGCTGTCAGAACGGATTTACTTCCTTGTACTTTTATTAGGAAGAGTAAATCTTTCGCTTTCGAATGCTGTTTTGCTGAGCTTGCGTTTCATACTGGGTGCGGAGATAAAAATGGAAAACTAAGACCATATAAGCTTTGACTATTTTAAGTTAGGTCACCAAAAATCGGACGCTACAGAAAAATCTGAAATCGTCAGTACATATGTTTTTTGACCTACTTTTTGTATCTGTGAAAAGTTTGTGCTGTTTGGACGTCTTTGTGAGAAGTTATGAATATCGAGTTTACTATGGAAAATGCCAAAATTGAATAATTTGTCGATTTTCGCGAAAATCATAACTTCTGACAGAGACGTCCAAACAGGGCAAGCTCTTCACAGTTGCAAAGTGTAAGCCAAAGAACATATGTACTGACGATTTCAGATTTTTCTGCAGCGTTCCCGATTTTTGGTGACCTAACCTAAAATGGTCAAAGCTTATATGGTCTTAGTTTTCCATTTCTATCTCCGCACCCAGTGTGAAACGCAACCTCAGCAAAACAGCATTCGAAAGCGAAAGATTTACTCTTTCTAATGAAAATATAAAGAAGTAAATTCGTTGGAACATCGCAAAGTTATGATTTTTCGAAAATGAAACGACAGAACTTTTGCACCAGCCTAATATATAAAAAAGCGAAAATAAGAGAATACTTCTAAGAAAGCCGCTCGCAGATGTATGAGAAGTGGGATGTTCTATCGTGTTTTACATGTTCTATCGCAATACCAAATTACATGTGATCTGCCTATAAGTAAACTTAGCGCTTAGTTGATAGTGGTTTTCTTTTAATGTGAGAATCGTAAACTAAGGAGCAAGTACGTTATTGGAGAATTGCTACAAAGTGAAAGTGTCTGTGTATCTCTCCATTAGTGTAGCCTTCCAATTAGCCTTTCAACAACCTTCTTTATAAGATCACCTGCTGTTTGCTTTCCATTATAGTACATTGTGTTCAGCTGCTTGTAAATGAACAAGTGCTTTGAAAAATAAACATGTTGTGTGCGCTTATGTCAGCCACACACTCCGAAGAAATTTTAAGGGTGATTCTCAAAACTCTTACTGGTCCCCAACCTCCAAAATCTGGAAAACCCGAAAAAAAGTTTTTATAAGGTTAATGAATTTCAAAGAATTTTCAAAAATTATTTCAATTGTTCACCAGAGTAAACAAGTTACTTGCACAAGTTTATATCCACGCAAGTTAATTTCTAAAAATTTCGCGACCCATTCTCGGGGGGGGGGGGGAGCTCCCCTCCCCCCAACCCCCACACTCCCCACCCCCCTCGGTCTGCCACTGCCCAATAGAGGAAAAATACAAAAATAGTAGGTCAGTGGCCCATCGTACGCGGTGCATTCAATTTTCTTGGACCTATTTTGAAATTAACGCGATGCAGGTTATAAGCGCGGAATGATATGAGACTTAAACTCAAAATACTGAGGATTCCTAGTGTTTTGCTGGAAAAGTGAATCCTATCTATCACGTATTCTACGACTTTGACTGTCAGAAATGTCTCATTACCCTATTTGGGAATGCGTCAGCTAGACTCAAATCTGGTGTTGCGTTGTAGTTTTGTCCTCTTCTCCCATCCACGTCTGTAAATGGTCGTTTAATGAAGTATCATAGCAACTATAGTTTGTCCTTTACCCAGTTAATCCCTGAGAGCGATATGGGTCGAGACAGATAAGCGTGCGATGTGATTGTAATCGAAAAGTAACAGGGCATCTTGATTTTTTTATTTTGTGTTTTCGTTTTTGTTCAACATAATCAGCGTTGATCAACATCTATAAAAGTGACGCATACCGCACTGGCGGCCTGACAGCATCTTGCTTCCCTCGCTTGACTTCTTGAGCTGCGCTTTACACGAATTTACTGATTTCTAGCATCGTCTAATTTTTCATATGCAAAACAAAGTTTGGGAAAGCGTGATGCGTTCAACAGCAATGTGATTCGGGTATTTCCGATAGGCGCGAAGATTGAGATAGATGCATGGAAACGAATAGGATTCAAATCGTTTATTAAATGGAGTGATCCTTTGATCTAGCGATGAAGATTACGAGCGCTCGACGCCTTGGAAGGTTTTTTATGCTTAACCCTTTTTTAGTGCCCATTACTTTTCATTCGAACAATTCAAAACGATCTTACATTGGTGACATACTTAAGAAGCAATCTCTTTTACCATAAATGTAGTTCCCCATTCTAGAATAACTGACAGAATTTAGCGGAGCCTTTAAAGTAATAATTTACTGGGGAAAATCCATCCTCAAGCTTGAATTCATTGCAAGGGCACTCTTCGTCACAGATGTGCGAATTTGCAGCGAATTTGCAGCATTCCTGTAACAAACCGATTTTTTTATACTGATAGCCAACTCCCCAAACGTCTGTCAAAAATCTATCAAAATGAAAGCCTAAAATAATAATAAGTAATAAAGTCAAAATCTCTCCACAAATTCAAGACACTCATTCCTCCCGGCACGCATATGCTACTGAGACACACATATCGCCAAATTTACTTCTCTTGACTCCTCTGATTCTTGCAAATTATTCCACTCATAGTCACTGTTTTGTAAAGAAAAACCTACGTTTAATTAAGTGGAATGGGCAGACTGATACAAGAAAAAGCAGCTGTAAGTTTGAATTGGCTAAATTGCGAGTAGAGGAAGTGCACATGTTGAGCACTGACGTATAGAAGTTTCATTATCCATTATGAAGATTGTGATCTTTTGAGATTTTATGTAGATAGTTCAGGTCACACAGGAAAAGCTAAGCTAATACAATACCGCTCACAAAATGTACAAAATTTCCGTGAATATCGCGAAATTCCGAAAATTCCGCGAAATTCCTGGAATTTCGCGAAACTTCGCGAACAAAGATTTTGGAAGCGGAGAATTACCTTAGTGGACAGAAACCTTAAGTGGAAGTATAGTTTTGGCCAACCTTCAAGCCTGCTTTTTTCGAAATTTCTGATTTTTTCCTGAATAAACAAACAAAAACGGGATCCGTTCTAGGTGCTGATGCTAGCCTGTTAAACACAAAGCTGTATCAAATTTCAGATCAATTCGTTGAGAAGCAGATGAATTACGGCAGTTTTCAGGGTGGAAGTATA